ATAATAATTTATTCGTCTATAAAATAATATATTTAAAAGTTATTTGCATGCTCGTATTTGAGTACTATGTTATGTGGTCAACAACTGGAAATCTTAAACCTACTGGATTGTTCATCATAGGGTATTATTAAAGAACAATTATCATATATTAATTGAAGCCAAAATAAAAGAAATAATAATGTCGAAATATTTGTGCATTTTAATAATAACTAATTAAAAAATAGAAACGCAAACCTTGGATAGCTGAGAAGTTGGGAATTCTTGCTTCAGCCAACAGAGAACCTGAACTCTTCATTGATAAAAATAGACACCAAAAGCTGATAACACACAATTGCGTTACTGTTCTTCTTCTTCTTCATTGTGCAGTTTCACATTCATGGTTTCAACAATCCCAGGCTGAGTTTTATTCAAAAATGCATATATGGAGACAGATAAACGTGAACCTCACTCTGGGTCTTCTGTACAGCAACGGTCTTCCTTTAGCTTCTTAATAAAAACTTTACTTGATAGTTTGAGGGATGGATGCAAAATTTACGGTAGAAGTGTGAATTTAAAAAGTTATATTTAAAATTTGTGGAGTTATAAAATTTTAGAGAATGTAAATTTAAATAGTCAACAAAAAAAAATACAAAAGTTCTAAAATATAAAAAAAAAAAATTAAAAATTTTAAGGGAGCAACTGCAACCCAGCACCTCCTCTATCCATCCCTAGATAGTTTTCAATTTCTGCTTCCTTGAAGTATTCCCCAGTTCAAGGACAGAAAAAATAAATAAATTCTACCGGCCAAAACTTCAAAGCACTTACTTTTTCTTCCAAATTGGAGAGAGAAACCTCTCATTTTTCCAGTGGCAATGAATAAATTTAAAACGGCTGGGATGGAATATAAAGCTCAAATAAACATCCATCATTAACGTATACATCTTACGTATGTAATTGTTTGAAATCAAAATTTTAGAGTAGAATAACTTTTTTAATTATCGAGGCTATTAAGGTATATAAAAGTTCAAATAAATTTGTCTCAATTAAATATTAATTCTTTATTAGTATATCACAAACTTAGTTAACATACTAATTTCTTACACATGATTATAACATAAAAAAATTATTATGAGATGATATAATAGAATAAATTAATTGCACACGAACTAACTTACCGAGTTCGAGTACCAGTGACTGCAGTAGGTTGATTCAGCGTTCATTGTTAAATGATTGAGAGTATTTAAAACATATACTATTCTATAATCACTTCAGCTTAATTAAAAAAATTCATTTGTTGCCAGTTCAAACATACAAAAAAATTTACGTAAATTACTCCATATATCACTAAATTTCATTTTAATACTAATTTTATCACTAAATTTTAAATTAATAGGAAATTGCTTAATTTTAATTTTGACTTCAAATATAACTATTGTTACCCTATTGACAATCTGATGACATGGAAGTTTGGTATTGATGTTGAAGCCAAAAAAGTAAATTATCTTTCATCTAAATTAGAATTCTTAAATCATTTTTAACCATGATCGAATACGTATTTTACAATCACTCTAGATTGATAAAATCATCTCATCTTCCTCTATCACTTTATTGGTTTAGATTCTCGATACTTCTTTAGAACTCATGGAATTAAATAGAAAATCCATCTTTTTAGAGTCTGTGTGTTTTCTTGGCTTTGAGGAGTTTGAGGTGTTCGTGTAAAATCTGAACCGTAAGGAATATTATTTCGAGAAGTCGAACAACATACTCCAAAATTAGTTTTGTCGAACGACCATAAGAGGATTTCAAAGTATTAGCATTTCGAACTTTTAGATTAATTTCCATCATTTTGAGGGGGTTTTGTGAAAAATCTATCCAAAGAGAAGAATAAGGAGTGAAATGCAAACGTTGACATCAATTTTGTCATAAATGATAATCGTTGATGGACGATTAGTGACCACCAATGACAGTCAGAAAGTTTAATGTCTAAAATTAAAGTGTTTTAAAATTTAATGTCAAAATTTATACACAAATTAAAGAATTTATATAATACTCCAAAACTATGTTGTTTAATTTGAGAATTAATGTAATCATACTAAAATCACATCATTTTTTTATCACGTCACAATATTTATCGAATTGTGTTTATATCATCATATTGTTTTTTAACCACGCAAAACCAGCTTTATTAATTGAAACAAAAAACAATACACACGATGGAAACAACTGTTAACCACACCAAAATGAGGGGAATATTATTTCGAAAAGCCAAACATCGTAGTCCAAAACTTTTCGAACTTAAAAGGGTGTTTTTGAGTTGATTAACATATGAGATGGACTAGGAGTGCAATTAACCCCAAAATTGTTTTAAAGGATGAATATCAATTAAGGTTGGTGATGCAATCGAGTAGACTTTCTTATTCATCTTTTTCATTTCCCTTTGTCATCATCTTCCAACCTTGTCTTCTTTCTCCCATTCAAATTCTTTCATTTTTCTCATTGTGCTCAAGTTAAAGGTGAAAACTTGTTGTTCCACATTTCCATTCTGAATTTGTGAATGTAAGGGTTGAAATAATCTTTTATAGAGCTACATTTTGAGTTCTCAACCTTGAGGTTTGACCATAGTGGATAAGGTTGGGTTTTAGGAGGGTTTTGCATTCTAGAGCTTTGAAGAGAGCTCTAAAACATTTCTAAATCCTAAATCTCACTTATAACGTTTCAAGCCCTTTTTTTTTTTTACTTATTTTAGTGAGATAAGTGGGTGAAAGCTCTAAGGGTCAAGGTAAAGGAAATAAGACTTTGGGTGAGCTTGGAGTTATTTTTACAACTCTTAGGAGTGAGGTAACACATTTCTAACCTTTCTCTACTGTTTATAATTCGAAATGTGAAGCTTTTATGCATGTTATGTATAAGAACCTTTATGTTCAATTGGATGTAGATTTAAAGCATAAAAATGGGTTTTTGTTCTTGTGTAGCTTAGTAGTCTTCGTATGCCCCTTGTAGTTTAAAAAAACATTAAACATCAATTGAGAACCCTTTTAGGTGCATTTGGTTCACGGAATGTAAGATTACCAGTGGGAATGTAAGATTACCAGGGAATAGGATTACTGAGAATGTTATATTTGTGTTTGGTTGGTTTAGCAGGAATGTAAGATTACCGTGTTTGTTTAAAGGAATAAAAGATTATTGGAATGTATATTTGACCAAATTGTCCTTATTATATATTTGTTTTTTTAACAAGTTGAAAAATATTTATATTTTTTTTAAAAAAAATTAAATTCATAATATATATATATATATATATATATATATTACAAAATTGAAAATATAAAAAGGTTTAATGAAATGGTAAAATTTTATTTTAACCCTGAACTTCATATAAAATTTTAATTATAGACTTTTTTTGTAAATCTAAAATAGTTTAAGGATAAATTTGTAATTTAACATTCGTAGAATTTTTATTATTCAATGACAGAAGAATGATATTTTTGAAAAAAATAAAAATTTAAGGGCATTTTAGTCCAAAACACCGATAATCCAACAATACCTAAGGAAATGGAGCTAATGACATTCTTGGTAATATACCCCAAAAAACTACTATTGGTAATAAAACATTACTGGGAATGAGATTCTCGGCCAACCAAACATGGGAATGTAGATTCCATTCCCATGGGAATCCCACATTCCTTGATCCAAACACTCCCTTAGGGTTTTGGGATAGATAATTAGGCTTTTTCGTGATAAAACAGTGTGTTCTGTAGGTTCGATCTCGATACCAGAAGGTCGGTATCGAGATTGTTCTTCATATGGATAAAAGCCCATGATTTCTGGGTAGTGGTATCGATACCAAGTCATGGGTATCGATACCGGGGCTATCTCAAGACCGACTAGCTTGGTATTGAGACCTAGATTCCAGTAGTCATTTTTGGTTTTGAGACTCGCGTAAGGTATCGAGACTGGGTCATGAGATACTGAAGGACCAATGTCGATACCAAATGTCAATTTTTAGGCAAATGAGACTAAATTTATGAAAATTGACTTTAAGAACCCAAGGGAACTAAGTGTTACCTTTGCATAAGATTACAGGAGAAAAACCAACCACAAGTGATAACATAAGATCTTAATGAGGTAGGATTCCACAAAATTTATGCCATTGTTTGATGCTCGGGAAAACAATAAGGACACTTGAGTTACTTAATAACGTTAATATGAATGTGTAAGGATTATCCGGATAATTCCAAGTTAGTGCTTAGGCACTCTAATTGCTAGTTGGACGTTGTACCGATGCTACGTGACCCGAATACGTCCCAAGCACTCTAGAGGAGTAGACTAGTAGGGTAAAGTATCGACGCTTCATGACCCGAACTTAACCCAAAGTTAAGGAGACATTGATGCTATGTGACCCAGGTCTTCTTTATGTGTAGTTGTAAGTAAAGAGAGGTGTGAGTTATGTGATGCTAGGTGACCCCAAACTACAACATGATACTTACTTATTTCCCTAAGTGTTTACCATTGTTCATGACTATATTGTATCATGCTTATATATTGGACGCATGTAGTATAGTATGGTTATTTATTTGCCATTGAGCTTGTAAGCCATGTTTCCGTGCGCAGATCCTTAGGTGTCGGCTCGAGGAGCATGTCGTCGATTCAGAACTCTCCAGATTTGATCACTTTCAGAGTATGTCTCGAGTATTTAATGGGCATGTACTGTCATAGACCCTTGTTTGTATTTAAATCGTAAACTCTGTATTTTATTTTACTAATATATTTTGGAGACATTTTTCGGGAGCTCCCCCGTATTTTAAATACATATATTTTGGTATTGTATAATATTTGGATATTATTGTTACTCTTTTGGGGAAATGTTTTAAAAAATGGTTAGCTACTTACATGGTTATGTGTAACATTGTAGTCCATCATCTTTCGGGTCGAATCAAATTAGGGTGTTTCATCCATACCGAGATCGAAGTGCCCTCGTCAACCTTCCAATGCAACCCTTTCAGCAACAGACCCTTGACGCTCTAAATACTACGCCACATATAAGATGGATTCACCCCTAGCCTCGAACTCAAAAAGTCCCCTGAAGAAAAGTACTTTTCCTGGATCAACCTTCCAACCAGAGAAGAAGGGTTAGCAAGAAGACGCCACCCTTGCTTAGCAAGTAGAGCGATATTAAATTTCCCCATTGCTCTAAACCTAAGCCATCCATCATCCTTTAAAATACATAATTTCATCAAAGAGAACCAATGGATACCTCTCTGAGCCTCTGATTTCTGCCACCAGAACCTTGCCATGATACTCTCTATTTCTGTGCAAAGCGTTTAGGGTAATAGGAAACAGTTCATCGTAAATAGAGGCAACGTTTGGAGAACTAGTTTTATAAAAACCTCCTCACCTCTAATCGAAAGGACTTTTACACACCAGTTGCGAACTCTTCTTCGAAATCTATCCAAGATAAGCAAAAGCCCCTTTTTTATTTCGGCCAACAATAGAAGGAAGACCCAAATATTTTCAGGATTCGTCTCATTCATGACTTCAAGCACTCTTCTTACATCACTGCGATTTTCATCACTGATATTGGAGCTGAAAAAGATTCCAGATTTCTCAAAATTAATCATCTGTCTGGAACTCTCACCATAAACACGCAACTCCTTGATTCGCAAAGCCACCCGAGCCTTAGCTTCCCCGAAAATAAGGTCATCATCTGCAAACAGAATGTGTGAAATAATAGGAGTTGGCCGATTTAGTTGAACCCCATGGAAATTGCCTCGCTCAATAGCATCCCGAATCAAAGCTGATAAGCCCTCACTACAAATAAGAAAGAGATAAGGGCTCAACGGGTCTCCTTGTCAAAGACCCCTTTGAGGTTCAAAACTTGCCTCCATAACGCCATTGAGAATAACTGAGTAGGAAACAGTACACACACACCTTTTAATAAAAGAAATCCACATATGCGATAACTTCATTCTTTCCATAACCGCCTAAATAAATTGTTACTCCACCTGATTGTCGTAACCGGATTTTATCCGGGCACGAAATATTAAATTTGGCGGGGAAATTGATGTGAATGAATAATTTTGAAAATAATTTGTGAGTCGCCATCGGCCTTTTGAATCAGGTAGGTCGAATACCTAAAAATTATCTTTTAAAAGAGTTTTTAAGAAAACCATATTTAAAAGATGAACTGATCTGCGTTTTATAACCAAAAATTCGTTCTTTTTAATAATAAAAAGGGATTCGTGGTCGGTTACGTTTAGGGAAGGATTAGCACCCCTACAACGCCCAAAATTGGTACTTTTTAATTATAAATTGTCTCTATTATTAAAAATTAAAAAAATTCAAAAATATATTTAATTTATATCCTATTATTTCAAAATTATATAAAAAATATTTATTTATTTAAAAATATCCGAAAAGAACTTCTAGGTGCCTTAAGACAGCTCTTTTCTTTGATATTGATAAATATTAATTTAAATAATATGGTTTACTTTTTAATTTTAAAATATTAGAATAGGACATCCAGTTGTATTAAGACTGTCCTTTTTCTTCAATATTAAAAATAATATTTAAAAAAAATACTATTTATTATATATTTATAAAATATTAATAAAATATTTAATAATATAATAAAATACAAATACTACTAAAAATATATTTAAAAACAATAAAATAAATGAAAACATATAAAATAAACGAAAAATAAAATTAAAAATCTAATTCATAATTAATCTAAATTACAGGGATTAAATATGTTATTTCTTTATTGGTGACTAAAATAAAATTATCTAAAATTTGGATATTAGAATAAATAAATTAAAAATATAAACTAAGGATTAAAATATTATTTATTAAAATTAATGGATTAAATCTGTAATTTATCCTAAATATATTATTTTAATATGAAGGACTAAATAATTAAATTAAAATTCGAAGACTAAATTAAAAATTATAAATTCAATTTAGTGACTAAAATGTAAAATTTACAAATACGAAGGATTGCGGACGGGGTTTAACTATTTCATATTACGCACATAGTCCTTCCCGAAACGACGTCGTTCGGGAAGGACTATAAGAGTCCAAATCGGCTGGCCCGAAGGGCCAGCCATTTCATTTCTTCTTTCTTTTTTTTTTCTTTCTCTCAAACAGAGAGAAGAATTCTCTGTCTTCTCTCTAAACTGAGAGAAGCTCAGCCGGCCGGCAGCCGTTAGCCGGCGTTCATCCGCCGTCAACCACCGCCGCCGGCCACCGTCAACCACCGCCGCCGGCCACCGTCTTCGGTGGCCGGAAAATTTTTTTTTTACATCTAAATGTAGATCGGACCGTCCTAATGACGGTCCCGATACTTTTTCCCGTAAACGACC